GGGAATTCTCTCACCCCTTGCACCTCTGGCCTACACCCCAGATCTAGTATGTATAAATAAATACCTAAAAAGGAGTGGAGAGATACTTTTTCTCTCACTGCCATCCCTGTAGGGCCCTGAATCTTTGGACAGAATGGGAAGTGATCACACCTGCAACAGTTTGGCGACTGAGGATCCCAGTTCAGAATGAGCTGGCTAGGTACAGACCAGGCTCTGTACCTGGGGTGGGTATCCACACCTGCTCAGAACAATGGGGCAGGGAGGGTACTTGAGGCTGAAGGAAGGGTGGAGCAGGATGTGGACTGAGAGGCCAGGAAAGATGATCCAGGGGTAAACTGGCTATGCTAGCTGTGCCATCTGGTAGGCTCAAGGATTGCTTGAGTTTAGCTCCCCCTCCTTAAGCCAAACAAGGCTACATCCCCTCCCCCCACCCATCCAGCAGCAGAACTCATGATTCAGACCCAATGGATCCTTTGTTGCCATCATCAAGGAGAGACTGTGTTGCTGGAGAAGCCTGGCACCAGTCCAAACCTTAGCAGGTGGCATGAAGATTGCGGGGTAAAGTCAGGGACTATTGGCTCATTTAGCACCTATGCCCCAGGCCTGCACTCTATCCAGGGCAGGGGTGGAGGGGTCACCTCTCCCCTGCCCAAGTACAGTGTAGGGCACCTCTGTCCTGTTAGCATTGTTCCCAATACTTTGTTATGTGCCCAGGGCTTTTACGTTTTAGCCTCTGCTCTGCTTCCAGGAATCCCTATTCAAGGGCCACCACCTCCACCACCACACACACACACTTGGCGTCTCACACCAACATTCATTTTCAGGGCTAGGTTACTGACATTAAGCAGATGTTTTACAATTTTTCCTATTCACCTGGCAGTGGTATTCCTGAGAGCTGCAGTATATATAAAACCTCACAGGTACCCTCGGTGTTTCTTGTATACTGCAGAGTCTAGCTTTAGCTCAGATAATCATCTACCTCAGTGTCCCAAGAGACTCTCAAGGTCTTCATTGTGAGACACCCCCCCCACCCCGTGAAATGGCTAAGCCCAGGCTCCCCATCGCCCCTGCCAATGCCACCAACACCCTCCTCAACATGGTGACCATTAGAAACACCCTTACACACTTAAGTACCCCCCAGGGGCAATCCCACATTCTCAGAGAAATCATCTTAAAAATACAGTCACCACATGTCCCTAGGGTAGGCTAGGATAGAGCAGAAGAGCGGGGCATTTCACCTCACCTCACTCTTCTCTCTACGGCTTGCCCTGCTGCCTTGGGAGTCAGGCAGCTGGCACTACAAGTCAGCAGGCCCATTTCTCAGAAGGAAGCACAGGCTCAGGCCCAAAGAGGAAAGGAATGTACTGAGCTCACCCAATAGGCTGGCAGCTGTGCAGTGGCCCCAACATGAACTGGTTCTCACCTCCTGACACTCTTTTTCTTGGTTACTCCATCCACAAGGTACTCCTTGATACTTACTCCACGAGCATGCCAAGCTTGTTCCCACCCCAGGGCCTTTGCACTGGCTGTCCCTCTGCTTGGTTGGCCCTTTCTTCAGTGGGCACTATTACAGCATTTTGGACAGGATCACTTGGTGGGGGTTGCATTTGAGAAGTTTACCATAGTCACTGTGCAGTCACCTAGATTGGCAATGGGAACAAGGAATGTGAATTAAAAGACCATTGAGTGGCCAAATCAGAGATTACAGTGGCCAGGACCAGACATTATGATGGGTATGGAGATGCAGGGATAGACTCCACAACTACTTAAGAAGCAAAACTTACATGCTTAGGGGAAAGGTAAACCAAGCTGAATTCCACTCCAAGAAGGAGTATGTGGGATCAGAGGCTGCCCCACCCATTCTAGGTTTATCTCAAGTCCATCTCTGCTCACTTACCTCTTCTTGGCCACACTGGCCTCTGTGTTTGCTGGATGTTTCGGTATCCCTATGCCTCAGGCCTTAAACGTTGTTTCCCCTGCCTGCAGTACTGTTTCACTGTTATAATCTTTTCACCCACTCCTCACTTGGCCTTCTCTGGCTTTGCATATGGACAGGGCAGTCTTGCATCCTCCCACATAAGCACTGAGCAGTCTTATTCATGGAACTCATCTCAATGGTGACAACAATTTTGTTGCTCAAGAGTACCAGTCATCTACTTAACAACAAACTCCTTGAGAGTAGGCACTATGTCTGTCTTAGTCTTTGCTGTATACAAACACATAGTATGGCACATGCTTATTAAACTCCTATTGAATGAATGAATGAATGGATTTTATGAATAAGGTTTGTGTGGGTACCTTGACATCTGCCTAATAGCAGTTGGAGATAGGAGTCAAGCTCTTTTGTAGGGGTAACAGATGAGGAAGCTTATTGTTATGAGCCTAGGTATTTGAGCAAAGAAACCTGGGGTGGCGGTAGATGAACCTGAAATCCTAAAGATTGTCCTTGATTTTACTCTGGACTTGAAGGATGCAAATTCTCTTCAACTGCTAGAACTACCTGCAACCATTCCTGCCACATTAATAGAGGCCTAAGGTCCAAAATAAGGAAGATAACAAACCTCTTTGATCCTGTCTGTCCCCTTCTCATTCTGCGGATCAGACAAGAATTAGAGAAAGGCCCAGAAGCTCCATCACATGGGAGCAGCCAAGGGGCTGGACCTGCTTAGGGTAGACGAGTTCACTTGGGATTTAAGCTGGTTCAACACAGAGCTCCCCACAGGGAGTCTCAGGAAAGAGACCTTTACATCTGGAAGATGTTCAAAGTCACCCAACAATGAAAATGGTATATAATAAGCTCCCCATCCCTGAAAGTTGAATGACTTTCTGATAGGACTGCTATAAAAAAGTCTGAGTGGAAGATTAAGAAATTTTTATTTTATTTATTTAAAAAAAAACTTTAAAGTTCAATTCCCTTTATGAGATGATGTTCTTGCTATTGGATAGGAAATCATTGTTAAATATTTGCTCTTCCAGGTTAAGCAATGAATGATAGCTACCATCTGCCTAATAAAGTTTCCTGAGGAAGGGCAGGAGGATGCTGAGTCATGGACCTCAAGCCGGGCTTGGCTGCAGGCTTGGGATTTATATGGGTCTCTAGAGGTGTCTGGCTATCTGGAGTCCCCAGAAGAGCCATTCTTTTTTTTTTTAAGATTTATTTTATTTGTGCATACAAGAACTGGGATGTAGGCCAGAGGTACAGGGGGATGACAAGATTCACTAGAGACAAAGTGGAGAGCAGAACAGAGAGATTCACTTTAGTACACTGCTGAGGGGAGCAGTGGGCAAAACAGGAGAGATCTGCTGTGCCATATGGGTCAGCTCCCTGCCCAACCAAGGACTGAGCTCATGCTGCAATGGTGAGTGATAGCTTGATAGCACTGAGGCTTTAATCCCTGTGCCACCAGGAAGGCTGAAAAGGACCTTGAACAAGAATCTTTCCCATTGGCTATTTATTCTTACAGCTTACCTGTAGATTTGAAATCTTCGAAAATAAAGTTTTTATAAAAATGCCAAAATTTTGATACAAATGTCAGAGTGAGATCTGGCATTTGTTGTTTTAAATGGTCTCTAAGGTAATCTAACCTGCAAATGGAGCCGAAAGTCACCATCTAAAGAACAAAGTCAATTAGAGTGATGCATATGTAAATATGCAAATGTTTTATGTAAATTTTTTGTACAAAGGAGATCATCAAGTTACTCATTCATATATATCATCTAAGTATAGAGCAGTTTTATATATCGACTGTTCTTGGAAAGACTTAGTTGTATTTAAACCACTAAAATGCAAATGGACATATAAGACATACAAAGCACAAGGGCATTTCCTTATCTACTCTATTTGCCTCTTTCCCTCCTCTCAGTTGTGCTCTCTTCATGGTGGAATAAAGGACATTTCTGTTTACATCTTCGTTAAATATTCTGCAAGATGTTTTTCTGCTTGTCATTCTCATCTCCACGGAAGCCATAGGGGGAGGCAGAGCCACAATTGTCATCCCCCACTTTGTGCATTGGTACACTGGGGGCCAGCTGAGGACAAGAGCTTTTCTGAGTTCACAATACATTTTTTAAAAGATTTATTTATGGGCCCTCCCAGGTGGCGCAGCGGGTTAAAGCACAGCACTGAGAAACTAAAGCCACTTCCGCAAGAGTTCGATACCCACCTGCCCTGGAGGTGACCACATGGCGTGACAGACCTCTCCTGACCCGCCTGCTGCTCCCCTCAGCAGTGTACTTCGTCGATCTGCCTGTTCTGCTTC